TGGTATATTGCTAACTGAAAAGTTAGCCACAATGATACGGACAATGCAACCATGTAGACAAAAACTAGAAATTAATGTGTAAAAATCATTGAGGAGGATTTATGTTTCATTTTCTCCTTTAAAGTTTTTTTATTTTTTATTTTTTAGAAGAAGCATTTTGTTACAGCTTTAACATACTCAATAACAATTTCCAGAGCAAAGATACATCTCTTTCAAAAGTGGCTATAAAATTTTTGGGTTCACAGTTGAATTAATACAGTTATACAATATTGAACTCAATATAACCCCTGTAAGACATAAAATTGAATGAGTTTTTAACCTTTAAGAGAGATCCATTTCATTTTAAAATATACTGTTTCTTACAGAAAGACTCATTGTTTTTTGCAAATAACACTTAGATATTGGTGCATGTGTCTCTAATCTGTATGTATCTGATTATTACTAGTCATAGTCGGTTGCACCCATATCCTTGGCATCTGGTAGATTTCAATGGTAATGTTTATCACCTCTACTAATTAACATGACTGACATAAGGTTTTATGCTTTCTCCTCAAATATAACTCATTTTTTAAATTTGTTGATTTTTGTGTGTGTGTATATCACACAGAACATCCCCCTCCTCATTCTCCACTAATTCTATGTGCAATCTCTTCTGTGCACTATATTTACGCATTCCAACTACCTCCCAACAACATGGTTGTTGGTTTGGCATTCAGAAGACAAGGTATGGATTATTCACGGACACAGAGCTTAAACGAGGCCCTCGAGATTGTCCCGTTGACACACAGTACTTCATTCGACTGTCCCATTTCCTCTGCATCTTTTCTCTTCCCTATCATTTACCTTCTCTTTTATTATTTTTCTTTCTCTCTTTACTCTTCCATTTTGTTCATTATATCACTTCTTTTATGCTTTTTCCTCTTGCCCTCATAGCCTTTAACTCATCCAAACTTGAAATAGCACCCTGAGAAAGCACCCAAGCTAAAGGATACTTAGACAAAGCAACTACCATGCTGTTCTGCCTGCACCCTCTCATTTATAAAAATAAAACTTGTCACGATTCTTACTGTGAACTCAGAACTAACATCTATACCTATAAGGAGCTTGGTTGGACAGTTAGAGAATTCCAGAATCCCATTGTCCTTACCTTCATTGAACTCACGGCTCAGCTCGTGGTTGGGGCACCGCTTCACCACCTCTGTGACATGCTCGGCTTTCTTATAGACAGGCATGGCCCGAATGACAGCCCCCTGTGGGGGTGGGGTCATCACCTTGATCTGGATGGGGCATGTCTTTGCGATTTGGCAGTACAGCTTCTTCAGCTCCGTGGAATACTGCTTGGAGACGAGATGGGCCCACATGTAGAAGGGATAAAGAACCAATATGAGACATCACATTCCCAATCAGAACAATGGAATGGCCCACTTCTGAGAGAGCCTCTTTAGCTGCAGGTTAACCACTGGCTGCTATCTATGTGGAATCTAATATAGGAAGTTATATTCATCAATCAAAGCCATATTTTTTTGCTACTTAAAAATTCTGTCTTCAAAAGATTATACATTTATATCATTATTTTCTATTGTCTTTAGGATAAAGAAATTTAAGTTCACAGGGGTTTAAAAATATGATACCATAAACAACTTCACTGATTACCAGAAATAAATAGGAAGTAATATTTTCAGATAGTATCAATATTAAACAGCAAATCATATGAACAGATTTATAGTTTGCAGAATCTTGTCCTTATAACACTATAGAGAGATTCAAAGACATTAGAGTTTATGGAATGTGTTTTATGATGGGGTATCTGGCAAAAAACAAAGAGATATTTGTTTCAGATTAGCAGCTAAGATTCTGCAATGCAAGAGCTTCCTCAAAGTCCTGTACTTATCTTCTGGTTCTACAATGAAAGAGACCACATGAGCTGGAAGGAGGCCCCTGGCTCCTTTGCCCAAATGGCCAACATAATGGAAGTCATCTAGTTAGGGATCCACAGGGAGCCAGTGCAGCAGACATGAAAACTGTTGGGTCACAAGTAAGAGAAGCTTTTCCTCCCTAGCCATCTCTCTTCAGAGATGGACAAGGCCCCTGGTGGTAAGAGGGTTGTAGAATTGGGAAAATAAAGTTAAAAATGATGAAGACCTAGGGTGTAAAAGTTGTAATTCATGCTGCCTCCCCTTGCTACCTCTGATTCAGAACAGGACATTAACCCTTCCCACCCCAGCTCTCTGAGTCAGCACCCTATCCTTGCATTGTGTACTTACTCAATGCTGAAGTAAAGCCACCCAGGCGCTAAAAATCCTCACTAAGAGTGTGCCTAGTAACACGCATCCAAACAAAGGGCAAACACTGCAGGTTGCAGGCCCAAGTTGGCACCAACATCCTCCCAGGGGAAGACACAGAGAAACGGGAGCCAAAGTGCAAAGAGATTCATTTTTGCTATGACCAACCCCAAATCTGACTAAAGGCAAACACCTTCCAAAGAAGCACATTTAAAACTTGCTTTATCACTTCCTATTGAAATAGACTGCTTATTTAAATGATACTTCGTTTTCTCCCAAGTGTTTCAGTGGATGACATTTGCAGTTAAATTGTCCTAGTGGTAGGAGAGTGTTGCAAAATCAACCCTCCGTGCCCACAGGCCAAGGATTAAACACAGTAAAAAGGCTTTACATAGCTTGAAGAAAGGGAAGCATGCCAAAAATCAACCACAAAAATAAGTTTCTACTTGGGAAATGCAGAATGAAATGTAGCCGAATGTTTTTCTCTGTGTTTTTAAATAATGACTTTACAGAAACATTGTTTTAGGGCATATTAGGAACTCACTTTCCTGGAGAGCCTTAAGGAGATAAGCATATCCATTTGTATTTCAGTTAGAAGGAATGCATTATATAATCAAATCATGGGTTTCAAAAGGAGCCTTAGGAGACATGACTAAAAAGTCTGTCAGCTAACACCTGGAGGCACAGGAGGACTCCTTCCAAGTATGTGAAGATTGCAAAAAAGAAAAGAAGAAAAAATGTTCAGGACAGTTTCTGAAGACAAACATTCCATTGCGATAATTAATACACTATAAATCAACCTGGAAAGACTAAAGTTACCCAAAAAGTACTAAGAAATTATTAGGGGCTGGGGATATATCTCAGTTGGTTGACTGCTTGCCTAATATCCTTGAAACCTGGGGCTTGATTTTCTAGCACCACATAAACTGGATCTGATGACACAGGCTTGTAGTAATAGCACCACCCCAGAGGTGGAGGCAGGAGGGTCACAAGTTTAAAGTCATCCTTGACTACATAGTGAGTTTGAGGCCAATATATATGATCTTGTTTCAAAAGAAAAAAAAAAAAAATGTAACTTCAGGCATCATGAAGCAAGGCTCTTTGCTCAGTCTCAATGTTATAAATGGAAAAATCTAGCTCCGAGTTTAAATAATGATCAGTAACAATGGCACATTTACTGAGTTCTGTTATTAGAAAGTGAATCTTCACTCCAAAGTATGAGAAAGCTATTACAAATACACTATCTCTTATCTGAAACTCCTGGAGCCAGAAGCTTCCATATCCGGAATTGTTTAGTTATTGCAAAAGGCGGGAAGTTTGAATAGCATCTGTCATGACCACAAGCAGTAGGAATTAGCACTATACTTCACGACCAGCTATAAACTTCTGCAGAATCCATAAACATTCACACTGATTGGGAAATGACTACGAAGCCTCCTAGTTTGGGTTAGAGTTAAGCAACAAATAACTGAACCACAAACTTAGAAAATCAAAACAAAACAATTTATGGTTTCAGAGCTCTTTGAATTTCAGAAGTGCAGATGACAGATAATGGACCTCTGTTATTATCCCTGTTTAAAGATAAGAAAATTAAGACACAAAGGATGTGCCTGAGGATGCACAGACAGTACATAGTTCCATGGTCCTCTTCCTGTAACAATAGCCTCTCATCTTGCTCTTGTCTTACGAAAGTGAAAGAATTTGTACTTTTACATTTTCCAAATTTACAACACTTCATTCTCCTGTAAATGAGCTTCAAATGTATATAATGTGCTCTAAGATTAAAACGAAGTTCAGAAGTGTCCTATTTATCATGAATAGTGTCCTCTTTATTTCTTAGTATAATGCACGCTAAGAGGAAGCAAGTGATAGCATTGAAAAAACACTGGGCAAGAGGCAGCCTTGCTGGGCTCTCTGTCAGCACTGCAGGTAGGATGCAAAAGCAAGAATCTGCTTTTGAAGTTGGTTTAATAAATACTGTATAAAACCCTTTGGATTCTGGCCTTATCTATCACTTAGTCCACCAATGCCTCAGCCTTTAACCACTGCACTTTTCTCATACCATGTTTCACTCATGCAAACTGCAGCTCAAACTCTAAACATACCATCCACTCCTGTTTGCTACACTTGTGTTTTCCCTTTATTCTCCAGATTGTGCCAGGGAAGTTTGGAGCTTCTTGCTCATCTGGGCCTGTATCTAGAGCTTCTTGCTAAGCTATGCTTATACCTGGTACTGTCTTTTCCATATTCTCCAATGCTAGTGATCAGTGTTTCATATTTGACTAAATCAAAATATCTGAGCAGGGCCAGGACACATTACATTTGTTGCTTCTGGTTAGACTGCCAGGCCTGTTACTGAGTGACTGGAGGAATGACGTGGTCGGCAGGATCTTTCTTTACAAAGTTAAGTCTTCGCTACTCTCTGCTTCACTGTTGGCAAATTAGTTCTGCGATGGCATTCATATTTTTTTCCAGTACTAAATTCAATCTCCCTGAATTATCCAGTATTAATAATTCCTCAGACTTGGCCACAACCTTTATTCCTCACCAAATAGCCTTGTCATCTTTTCCAACTTTCCAGACTTCTGCAAGGTTGCAAAAATGGTAAGCTGATTTACGTCAACCTTTCTAAATACCCAGATGATTCATGCTAGCAAAGCCTGCAAATATGAACACATACGGAGTCTGTCAATATCTCGCTTTGTTTCTGGGGTTGCCAAAATGCATCTCTAATTTGCTCTTCAATGCTGGCTTGAGGTTTCTGAACTCGGAAGCCAAATTTATGATTTTTTTTTTCTTTTTGCCGTGGAGAATCTATTTTGTTTTAACCAGCTTCACTGATGCCTAATTTTAAACTTATACACAGTTTTTAGGTGTGTAAGTTGATGACTATAAAAGGCATACAGTTACATAATCACTATGACAGTCAAGAGAACATTTTCAGTCTCTTCTCAAAGCACCTTTGTCTCTGTTTTCCCTTTCTTAGCCCCAAGCTCTCATCTACTTGCTTTTCCTCACTATAGTTTTATCTTTCTAGAAATTTCTATAAGTGGGCAAAAATAATAGTGTTCTGTGGTGATACTTTGGAGATGCATGCATGTTCTTGCATATATCAACATTCTGTTTTGCTTTTGAGTAGGATTATGTTATTTATCATTTCACTATTTCCAATTTTCTCTATCATGAATAAAATTATTTGAATAAGTTATTGTGAGTCTACATTTTCACTTTTCCTATATACTTAGGACTACCATTTAAGTGAAGTCTAACCTTATAAGAAAATGGTAAACTGCTTCAGAAAGAGGTTGTGCAAGTTTTTGTTGCTACCCACAGTATATGAAGGACTTCACTTCCTTGGCAACAGTAGGCCTATCATGGTTTCATGGTTGTTCTTTAATTCAGATCATTGTAATGAATGCAGTAGATCCCACTGTGCTTTAAGTTAATACTGCCCTGATGATTGCTGTGGTGAGTATCTTTCCAAACACTTAATTCATTTTTACATACAATAAAAATATATTTATAATATTGTCAAATATACTTATTTGATAATCTTTGTTGAAGTTTGTGCTCTAAATCTTTTATAATTTGTAATTTTTGAGATTTCATTCTTAATTTGGTTTCTTATGTTCTTAATTTGAATTGTAATAATTCCTTCTACATTCTACTTACAAGTCTTTTATCAGATATAACCATTTAAAAGTTATATTCTCCCAGATTGCTGCCTTTTCCTGTTTTTTGAACTTTGCCAAAACAGTTAATTTTCAAAGAATTATCTGTCCTCCTTTTTTAGTTTTCTTTTGGTTTTGAAAGAGCATCTCATGTAGCCCAAGCTAGCCTCAAATTTCTCAAGTAGATGAAGATGACCTTGAAGATGATTTCTCCACCTCACCGAGTGCTGGGATTTTTTTTTTTTCATCACACCTAGAAGTATTTTGCTTTTAAGATTCTTGCTTTCACATATTCAAAGACAATCCAACATTAAAATGATATTCTATTTTCTTAAAGAAGTTTTATGGTCTTAGGTCTCACAGAGCTGAATTCACTGGTTG